TTGCGCTGGCCACCGCGAGAGTCCTCTAATGGAGGTGGAGGAGGAGGGAAGACGCTCTCCACACGATCATGGGGATCCGTGTGTTCCCGAGAGCTTCTTTGATCGCGTAACGCAAGGGTTACGCGGTGATCTCGAACATGAGCGGGACAGGCGTCTCCAAATGGCGGACGCTGTCTTGAAGCATCGAGCTGAGTTTGCCTTTGCTCAGCTTGAGAACGAGAGAGCTCTGACATCTCTTCGTGACGAGCTAAGGGTAGCTCGTGGGATTGTTGATCGGTCTCGGGATGAGATAGCTGCTCTCCAGACCCTTGTTGATGCCCAACATCGGGAGCACAAGGCTCTCTGCGAGATGCTTGAGCGCAAGGGCGTTCTTCATCGGAAGAAGCATCGTACTGATGGTATGGCTTAAGCCGACCAGCGTAAAACGTGGGATGCGTTCGCATCTTACGTGGTAACTCGATCGTGTATGCATTGCCTAGGCGGTGCAATACACGAAATGGGCCGATGTACTTGGGTAGTAGTTTACTGCTACCCAAGTTAGTCACTACATGCTTTGGTAGATTAACCGTAGACAGTAGGACTAAGTCACCTTTATTAAATAAAAGAGTGTTTGCCCTTCCATTCTTATCAGCGTTTTGCTTTTGCTTATCCACCGCTTCGGCGATGGAGTCTTGCACAAAACGGACTACCGTTTCACGAGCCAGTATGAACTCATCTGATGACTCCTTAGCTTCAGTGCGCTGTGAGTGCACTGCAGCAACATCAACCTTTTCTTCAGTGAGGGCTTCCGCACTCTCACTGGTATCATCTTCTTCAGTGAGGGCTTCCGCATTCTCACTGGCATCATCTTCTTCGATATCGATGTTATCGATATCGGCATCAAACGCAATGACTTCTTCGTCAGAGCGTGATGAGCGTGAACCAAATCGGTGTTTGCTCGCGCGAGTCCCTCCCCCCCTTAACCCAGAGTTACACTCTAGTAAGGTGGGTAAATGTGGATGGCGCAAGCCATTCACGTAAAACGGTGTACGTGTCGTGGACGCATGCACCGAGTTGTTGATGGCAAACTCTACCATTGGCAAAAACTCACTCCAACTCTTAAAGGAGTGTACGTAATCTCGAAGTATCTCTTCAAGGACACGATTGGCACGTTCCGTCTGACCATCTGACTCTGGATGATCAGATGTAGACATCTTCAAGCGCGTTCCGAGTGATTTGAACACGGAACGCCAGAAATCAGCAGTGAATCGTGGATCTCTGTCTGATACGAGTTCACGGGGCAACCCATGAAGTCGGAAGATGGTGTCAATGAAGACACAAGCACAGCCACTTGCCGTGATTGTCTCTGGTACAGCCACAAGGTGTATTATTTTGATGAATCTGTCAACGAATACGAGAATACCCGTATCCCCGCGTGCGTCTTTGGGTAACCCGAAGACAAAATCCATTGAGATGGATTCCCAGCACTTAGCCGGAACCGGTAGAGGCTGTAAAGGTGCACGCAGTGAAGGACTTGACTTCACTCGTTGCAGACTTCGCATGCGCGAACATACTTTCGCACAAAATGATACTGGCGGGGCCAGTAAAAGTCTCGACTTACCGTGAGATGTGTTTTCTCCCGGCCACGATATCCTCCTATAGGAGCATCGTGATACTCGAACATGATCCGCAAACGCAGATCAGTATCATCTGGAATGACAACACGTGGTGTGTCACCAGAAACGGCTGTATAATACAGTAAACCGTTGCGTGTAGTGTATCGATCTGATGCAGATCGATACGCAGACGATGATCGTTTCAACGATTCTCGAGATGGTTGTGAGAGATGTGACAACAACTTCACAATCTCACCATATTGGGCATACGCCCGCCTCACATCATCATACAACGGTGTAGATGGGACTGAGGACGTCATAACCGCAACAGTGACTGTCTCACTGTTGGGTTTCGCGACTGTTTCAAAGTCGGGACGACGTGAGAGTGCATCAGCGACGACATTAAGTCGTCCTGGTTTGTACTCGACCGTAAAGTTGTATTCTGCAAAGAATGACAACCACCGCGCCATTCGTTGAGAAAGGTGCGGGCTGTTCACTACCGTGCGTAACGACGCATGGTCAGTGTAAACAATGAAGGGTCTATCTCCTAATAGATAGACTCTGAACTTCGCGAGTAAATACTTCATGGTAAGGCGTTCCTTGTCATGCACTGGATAGTTCCGCTCAGCTGGTTGTAGCTGGCGCGACTGATAGCAGACGACGCGTTCAACGCCTTCTAGGTCGTACTGCATTAATGCACAGCCGATTGCGAAATCGCTGGCATCACAGACCACATGAAATGGCCTGTCCTGATCGGCTATTGCTAGGACTGGGGATTGTATCAAGCTCTACTTGATACCATCAAAGGAGCGCTGACATTCAGCGTTCCATAACCACCTCTCGTTCTTTTTCAACAAACGAGAGAGGTGCACAGTCATTTCGGCGTAATTGCGTGAATACTTATGCAAATACGCCGCTAGCCCAAGGAATTTTCGAAGACCTTTGACATCAACCGGCGCAGGCCAGTCGGTGATCGCCTTGATCTTTTCGGGATCAGGAAGTACACCGTTCTTACCAACGATGCACCCAAGAGTGGTATTTCGCTTTCTGCAAATATACACTTCTTGAGGTTTGCATACAATTGATGCTTTCGCATGATTGTAAGAACCTGTCGGACGTGGTACCTGTGAACCTCAACATCCGACTTTCCATCCATAGCCCGACTATGGATGAATACGTCATCGAAATAACTCGGCGCGAATTCTCGTACTGGTCTCAACAGATGTGATACACATCTGTTGAACGTGGCAGGGGCATTACTAAGCCCTTGTGGCATTACTAGCCACTCCCAGAGCATGCCACTAGGCGTGATAACTGCGGTATAGGGTATATCCCGTTCTCGCATGAGGATTTGATCGAAGCCATCCATCGAATCCATGGACGAAAAGATGGTACTCTTTGACATACCATCAATGATTACGTCCTTCCTCGGTATCGGCGTCTGAGCCGGTACCGTTGCAGCATTCAACTTGTTAAATGCGTGCACTATCCGCCACCCTCCTGTTGCTTTTCGCACACAGAAGGTCGGAGATCTATGTGGGGAAGTTGATTCCCTCACATGGTTCGCAGCTAAACGATCGGCAAAGAACTTGTCGATCGCAAGTACTCGTTCACGAGGCAGTGACCACTGCTTCATGACGCAGTACTTCGAGCCTGGTTTAAGCTCGACCTCGTGTCGAATACCTTTATCCTTCGGTAATTCGCACGGAACAGTTTCAGGGAATACATCCTTGAATTCAACCAAATCTTCATAGAGAGGATTTGTCTTGAGCGATTCCCACGATTGGGAGTCATATCGCTCAATTTGTGTCTTTTCATCTAGGACACTCTCGTCCATCGATAAAATACAAAGGACTCTCTCGTTCTCAGTAAACACTGTTGCTGACCTTATGTCGGTTACACACTCGTCGTCAGCGACGAGTATGCAGATCTGCTTGACTTTGCCACTACGCAGATCACGCAAGAACCTTTTGTGTTCGAGCGTTGGCAACTGAGTGATCTCCGAAGTCAACTTCGGAGGCGCAATCAGATCAAGTGTGTAAGCGCCTACACTTGATCCGTTATTGACTATGACATTCAATGTCTCTGTCATTTCCCGGGGACTTATTCCCTCAGGCTTCGAAGGACTTATTCCTTCGGCTTCCCGGGGACTTATTCCCGCGGGTTTCGGGGAACTTATTTCCGCCGTATTTGTAATCTTGGGATTTATTCCCTTTACTTCCTCTAGCTGGGGTTGCGCAACCACAGCGAGATCCTCTACGAAAGATTCTCCAGTTGATCTAGGATTATCGTTTCGCTTAACCTAAGCGATCGGTGGTTTTTCTTCTAGATGTTCCCCGCTAGGGATACATCTTTGTCCCGGTCCACTCGACTTATTCGAGTGGTGGACCTTCGGCGCAGCCTGTGTTTCCTCACAGCCGCCGAAACTTTGCTCCGAAGTGTAACCGTTTGTTACACTAAGCACTCGCACTAGCGACCGTACCACAAGTGAGGCCATCGCACTCACTCGTAGTACATCCACACGCTTGGGGACGCTCCAAAACGTTCATCAGATGGCCATCTGATGAACAAGCGGCAGGCATCGTTACTGTTCGATGTTGCCGGTTTACCCGTGGTTCGTACCTTCTGAGCCACGGTATTCCTAGGATGACATCAAATTTGACATCCAAATCCAAAACGACAAAGTCATCGTCACATTAGGTATCTTCTAGAGTATAGTGAATCTTCACTATACGCTTCATGACGGTTACGGATGCGCCTGTCGCAAGACGTACCGTCATCCTCGTAGGAGGTGTGTCACATGCACTAAACTTAAAATGACCATCTTCTAGCGATTGGCGTCGCACAAAATTGTTGGACGCCCCACAATCGACTAGAGCTCGAAGAGACGACTTGTTTGTCACTTCGAGTTTTTAGGTAATGAGTGAGATCTCATTACCTAGAGCAGCAACGCAAAATGTTTGTGTCTTGGGAGCAACCTTCATCAAGAGGCCTACAGATTCTCTTGACTTTTCTGGACCAGTAGGGTGCTTTGCAACTACTGATCCTGTCCGTTTTTTGACGGTCCATCCCGTTGTTGCGTCGTTGCACCAACAGCAGACCCGCGTCCCTGCCCCTTTCTCATGGGTGGACGGTCACTACGCCCAGTGTCGCGAGACACTGGACGAGGGGCACTACACTCGTAAGCGTAGTGTCCTGTCTTTTGACATCTGTTGCATCTCTGCAACTTCTTGTAGTCTGTAGAGCGAGCCTTCTCGCTCTCTACATAACAAAGTTCCATCGGCTCTGGACCTCCCGCTGTCATATCGTCTCGGTTGACGATATGATGTCGAGCTGGCGCGAGCCTGTCTCAGACTGAAGCCTTCCTGCTCCGCAATGGAAATGGCTTGTTCTAGTAAATCTAGTTCAAGTCGGAACAGGTGAGTCTTGACGGGACCATCCGCAAGACCCTGCATGAACACCGAAACCAACGTGTGTTCATTAACCGGGTTGGAACTTATACAACTCGTGAGATGTCGTATATGTTGAGCGCAAGCATGCACATCACGCTTACCCTGCTTGAGCTTCAAGAGTTCGGTTCGAGCTCTTAACTCAGCTCTAGGCGGTTCAAACGTTTGTCTGAGCCGCGACTTGAAGACTTCCAACGACCCAAACGCATATGGGTCGTGCAACTTGAGCCCCAGTGCCCAAGTCTTGGCACGTCCTGCCAGATTTGACTGGGCAAATGCAACTTGCATATCCCCGTCGTCGATGCGACGCGCCCTTATGGCGTCATCCACTTCGACGAACCATCTCAAGAGGGAGTCCTCTTCGACTCCCCTATACTTGGAGATGTCAATCTTCAAAGTTTCGGGTCGACGCGAGTGTATCGACCCACCAGCAGCAGCAGCCTGCTGCTGTCTCAACAGTTCAAACTGTTGAGCACCCTGTTCTCTCAACAACTCTGCTTGTTGAGTGCCTTGTTGGTGAAGCAAGGCTACTTTCTCGCGTTCAGCGTCAAGTTCATTTTGAATGAACTTGGCGATAGTAGCATGTTGGGCATCGCTATTGAGAGCCTCTAGCATGACGCTAACGGCATGGATGCCCATGGTCGAACCCATTCGTTCAACCGCATCCCATTCGACATCGCTCAAATGGGAGTAGCCGTCACGCGTAGCGTGAAAGCTTTGGTCATCTTCATCATCCAACATATTCATGTTGGATGTGAACGCGGTCCTTGGACGGACTACGAAGTGCTACCAGGTGTAACGGGGCACCCTGAAGCTTGTACTGGTGACAGTACAAGCTACTTATTCTGATGACAGAACAAGGCGGTGCCTCGGAACTTCACGTACACTGGTACGTGCAGAGGAAGACGGTAAGAAGAAGCGAGTACTTGGTTAGAGTAAAAAGTAGAACTGTATTTATAATAGTTAATGTCTGCAATAAATCACTATTTATCTTCATCTAACTAAGTCTAAATACAAATGTGTAAACCAGTAATCTGCTCACCACTCATTGCGTGCGTCTGTCGTGGCGCGTCTTCGTTGGTTGATATAATGGCCTATATCAACCAATTAGGAACTACTCGTAAGTGCTACAGAATATTTGTCCTTATGACAATATTCTAAGAATATAACTCTTATAGTTATATTCTATTAACAATTTCTTATAAATTGTTATGTAACGATTCACCCCGTTACACCATCCGCTTACATTTGTGGCTGGAACGTGGATCCGCAAAAACGAGTGACTGATCGGCGGAATTAGGTTTGAGACCTGGCGGTGTGAACCTTCTATGGCGGAGTTGAGTCCTCCATGCGGCGGAGATGCTCGACACATATTGCATGTAGCGTCGTAGCAAGAAAAAAAAAAGCCAAAGCTAGCAAGCTGCTGTAAAGACCGCATCCTTCGCACCCAGCGGATCGACATTTGGGTGGAGGAGATTTTTAATAACGTTCCATGCCGCGCTTGTGAGACACAGGTAGCACATACCAAAAATTCAGACTTGAAGGCCATCCTCCTTAACGTCGCCGAGACTTCGCTACCGAGATAGCAGATGATGCCAATGTCGTCGGGCACTAGGGAAATTCCAGAAGACGTAAATTGCCATTGCAGGAGGGGGGGGGGTAAATACTTAGGTACGGGGCACGACATGTAACGGGGCACCCTGAAGCTTGTACTGGTGACAGTACAAGCTACTTATTCTGATGACAGAATAAGGCGGTGCCTCGGAACTTCACGTACACTGGTACGTGCAGAGGAAGACGGTAAGAAGAAGCGAGTACTTGGTTAGAGTAAAAAGTAGAACTGTATTTATAATAGTTAATGTCTGCAATAAATCACTATTTATCTTCATCCAACTATGTCTAAATACAAATGTGTAAATCAATTATCTGCTCACCACTCATTGCGTGCGTCTGTCGTGGCGCGTCTTCGTTGGTTGATATAATGGCCTATATCAACCAATTAGGAACTACTCGTAAGTGCTACAGAATATTTGTCCTTATGACAATATTCTAAGAATACAACTCTTATAGTTATATTCTATTAACAATTTCTTATAAATTGTTATGTAACGATTCACCCCGTTACACCATCCGCTTACATTTGTGGCTGGAACGTGGATCCGCAAAAACGAGTGACTGATCGGCGGAATTAGGTTTGAGACCTGGCGGTGTGTACCTCCTACGGCGGAGTTGAGTCCTCCATGCGGCGGAGATGCTCGACACATATTGCATGTAGCGTCGTAGCAAGAAAAAAAAGCCAAAGCTAGCAAGCTGCTGTAAAGACCGCATCCTTCGCACCCAGCGGATCGACATTTGGGTGGAGGAGATTTTTAAAAACTTTCCATGCCGCGCTTTAGAGACACAGGTAGCACATACCAAAAATTCAGACTTGAAGGCCATCCTCCTTAACGACGCTGAGACTTCGCTACCGAGATAGCAGATGATGCCAATGTCGTCGGGCACTAGGGAAATTCCAGAAGACGTAAATTGCCATTGCAGGAAGGGGGGGGGTAAATACTTAGGTACGGGGCACGACAGGTCTTGAGCCGCCCAATTCCAGAGTAGATAACAGTTGCTTTTGAGTCGATACAGTGTCTGTGCATCGGTCGGAAGCTTCGCCCTTATTCGTCGGAGGTCTCTCCACTCGATCGTATCTGTACCTGTCGAAATCACTCAAAAGTACGGCTTCGTGACCCGCCTGTCGCGCAGTCGGTTCCATTATTAACGCAGCCGCCGGGAAAGTATATGCTTGAGCTGTTCGCGTTGCGGAAGCCATCGTTGTTAGCCAGCCCAAAGCTGCACGAACCGCGTGAGCACGGAATGTGCGCCAAAGTGTACAATAGATCCACTGTTTAAGGATCAGCCCTATCTCACGCTAACATCGATAAGACGGGGAGTTGCCTCGCCAGAATAGCCCGCGTCGAAGTGTGATAGCGATGTATCGTCGCAATTACGTGTCCAGTCAGGATGACGACGAATCTTTAATTAGTATGCAATTGAGGCCTCTGGCTTAAAATTACGTTGGACGAGCGAAGAAAGGTTGTAGAGCAGCGCTGGACAGATAGATTTTAAGTGTCTTCGTTTCGCCATCGATTGGGTAGCCGCATCTCGCGTGGGTGAGAATCTTACAACCCCACGTTGCACCATGCTCCAAGAAAATGTGTCGCCCAGGTAAGTCTGCTCTGTCACAAATGCAACACCTTTCAACTCGCAGAATTTGCCCCTATGATCTTGCAGCCACGACAAACCTTTCATCGAAGCGTGGACAAGCCATCTGGTGTCAAACCGACCCGAAGATGCAAATTTGGCCTGTATTCCAGCTCACAGCTTACCATAAAGCGCTCGCCGGACGTCAATTAAGTCGCTTTCGTCGTCATTGTGATTGAACCCGGCTTTAGACTTGAAGATTTTGGCCCGACCGCAAATTTCCTTTACTTCGCCTTTGCGGGTATGTCGAGCGGCGGGGAGACCAAAAATTTCAGAATCAGTCAACCAGGAAGATGACCTGTATCTTGGATACGTGTTTTCGGTCCAACACGGCGTGATGTAAGCCGAGATTGACCCGGGAGAACCCCACAGGATGTCTGGAACCAGCAATTCCCTCGTAGAAACCGGAGCTGCCCACTGCCCAACGCTGTCGCCGCCGTTGTCAGTAGTTCCGTTCGAATACACAGCATTCGAAGGCCGCCTTGCTGTATCGGTAATGCAGCCATCTCGGCGGGCACCCAAGGTCGGGATCGTTTTCCATCTCGGGTATCCATTCAAATTCCATGACCAATCCATGCAGCCGGATGACAATGTCAGGAGGAGCCCAGCAATGAAAAGCTGTATAGGTAATTTTGGGCACCGCAATAGCACTGGCGAGGCGGGTCCGTAACGTCACCGTCAACGGTGTGAGTCTTCTCTCTTGCCAGAACGAGTCGACACCGAAAGGATTGTATACATTTCGTCCAATATTCGTCCACCGCTTCCTGTTTCCCTACCAACACACCGAGGTATCGGCATGACTAGCTGGATGCGAAAAGAGTGAGGTCATGGGTGTCAAGAGGTAAGGCCAATCCGCGAGGGTCTAGCTTGATAACTGTAGACTAAGCTCAATTCGTCTCAAGACTTGAGACCCTTGCGAATTCCCCCAAAAAGGAAAAAACAAGCTTCAACGCTGTCTGATCTCGCAGGCATACTGATGTGTCGCTGGTATAGCCCGAAACCTTCTTTATAGTCGTCCGGCCGCCTGAGGTGAGAGGTACGCTGCGAACGATAAAAGGAATATTATTTAACATATTTGAAGTAAATTCTATTAAAATAAATCCGACATGACTTATAGAACTATAAGCTAATTATCTTTACTAAAACTTAAAATAACAGGTAATATTTTAAAAAAAGTTGGTAAAAATTCAGCATCAATCATTTGATTATTTATAGGATTTATATAAATTAAATTAATCCAAAAATTAGAACCTAAACCAACAAACAAATCTTTAGAAATATAACCTATAAAAATACTACCAAAAGCTAATAAACCTAAAGAAATTCCCATTTCTAACGGAACATCATGGGCATTTTTAATAACATTTTTTATTCCATCCTATCTTGAATCACCCGATCGACACTATCGAGATCCAGTGTGAAGAGTATTGGTGCAAGGTAACACCCTTGTCGAATCCCACAGCGAACCTTTTGGCTACTGGAGTGGTGGCCGTTCACAATAAATCAGCAAGTCGTGCCTTGATGTAATGCAGCCACAACCGATGTGAACAGCGAGGAGAAGCCAAGCCATGCCAGCACCGAGATCAAAAATGGACATTGTAGCGTGTCGTAGGCCTAAGCGAATTCAATAATAAGTACGATGGAACCCTGCAGATAAAGGATACCCTTCGCGGTTTTTCGGACTGCAGCAAGTATTTAAAACCCCGTACGGATGTAACTCTTCGAAACAAAACTAACTTGGGCCGGTAGAAGTGTCTGTGATAGCAAAGACCGAACCCGAAACGACATGTTATCCTGGTAAATAACTTGTAGTCGCTGTTGATCAGCGCGATAGGACGATGGTCCAGCGGCAAGGCTGAAGCCGCAGTTTTCTTCAAGCACTGTATATTTGCTCTCCAACCACGCTAAAAACACGCTGCAATTAAACCATCTGGTGCACAGCGCTGCGAGAATAGGTGTTATCGCATCGGAGTAATCGCGGTAAAACGTTTTGCTGATTTCGTCTGGCCCTGGTGCCTTTCCACGTTTGAGTCTTTTCAAAGCCGCACCCACGTCATCCGAGAAGATTGTTTCCGTATCAGATGAATCGTCAATTCGATGTGGCCGCGAAGCCTGACCACAAAATGCGGCGGCTGTAGCGGGGCACTCGAAAGAACGAGTCATCATAGACTCCCACCCGTCTGTCATCTCTTCATCCAGTTCCTGAGACCGATTTGGTGCGGAGGATGCTTTACCACCCAGGGACACAACTGTGTTGTCCCAAAACAATTTGTCATTTAGGCGCAAAATCTGCGGGAAGTCTCGCCCAGGCAGTACGTGTGTTGGGCATGAAGATGCTCTTTCTTGGTTCTTTGCCATGACCGGCGACACTCTGCCACATACCGACGAATTTTATCTGGTTTATCGCCAGCAACAGATTGTTCGCTGCTCCCGTGAATGCCCCCCCCCGAAGCGATATTCGAAGAGCGTGCCACGAGGAGTGCCGCACCGAGCCGGACCGATAAGCGACGCAGTCGCTGCTGATAACGTCGCGTCAAAATTTGACGTTATTGCTTGGTAATACCCAAAAAGGCTTGACGTAAACGCATCTTCCAATAATCCCACCAATTCGCAAGTCTGCGGGCCGTGTCATAGCTCACTGTCGGAATCAAATTAGACTCCTCAACTACACTCTTTGCCGTCTCTAGCGAAGCAAAATTTGCTTGGTTTGCGGCATCTTTCGCACATCCATGGACAGGTACACTCGCCGTGGCTTGTTCATGCGCAAAATACGATGTGGCGACCCAATACGAATATTCCTTCCATTGTGGTCCGATGCTGGTCCTGAAAATGAGAGGACGACGTCACGAATCCAGTCAGCATGTATAGCAATTACGTACCACCGGTCAAGCCGAGAAATGGAGGAGCCCCTCCCCCGGGCAGAGTGGAAATTAGGTGCGCACCGCAGCATGTAATGTTGAAAGCTCGCGCTCTTCCTCCGCTTGCTCTATCTCATCTTCAAAGACACCTCTCATCTGTGCACGAGCGAGGTGCCGATGCAGCGCCTTTGAATCTTGTTTGCTAGCAGGAGTAACGAAGGAACAATCCAGATGAGGGAACAAGGTGCAGTTTAAGTCCCCTTCCATCAGCATCGGTCCGCTTTGCCTCCGTAGGTGGTGATGCAATCCGAACAAGTCCTTCCTTTCGCTGTTATCGATTGGATGAAATATACATTGACTAAGAGTACCTCTTCTCTCTAGGGTAACGCTTGCGGCCATCCAATGTGGTCTTCAACGCTCCTCGTGCCAAGGCTCCATCTCAGTAGTCGACGTACATAGATCAAGAAGGATAGCTACCCCTCCACGCGCCGCGTACGACTTAGTCCTCATAGTGTGACCTAGTTTTGCAGTGGAGCCCTAAGTGGTTTGTAAAACCTGTCCACAGTGACCGCTTCTCCTTGATTGACCCGCGTTTCCTGAAGAAGATCCAAATCAATTGCCCCTCGCTCTCCGCGTTACGAAAATGTACGATAAATTCGGCACATCGCTCAGGTTGCTTAGGAAAACGGAGAAATTTTGCGAATGTAACCGAGACTATTTTTGGCGTGGCCGCCGGGCAGCCCTCGGCATTTGACGCCGTTTCGATGAAGTGGTCGGGGCAGATTATCAATTCCATCTTTTAAACGAGGTTGGTCGATAAAAACGGAAGAAGTTAAAAGCTGAGCCACCCGATCTAACCAGTCAGCCGTTAAACAAACCGCTATGCCCTTGGTATCGAAAGTCCGATATCAGACCTTCGCAGGCGATAAGCTCAAAGTCCGGCCGCCAATTGGCAGATTTCAATAGGACTCCAAGGATTGCCGCATACACTTCTTCGGATTGGTTATAGAGCATAGCCTTGGTCTGTGGCATCACAACCTTGGTATCTTCTTCCACAGGCGCAAGCGCCGGTAACAAATTACCTAGGACTTTCAAAACGCCCCAGTGATCCAAGTCGAGAATAGGGTCGACGACAGCTGCACGTAACAACTCCGGCTGTAGTTTGCCAAAACGTCGCCAGCGCAGGATGGAGTCAATTGTTTCTAGCAAATTCTACCCGTCTGACCACCTGCTACCGCGGCTCATTCCGTACAAAGCTCTCACATTTTCACATCTAAGTGGTTAGCGTGTTGTCGGATAACAGCAAGCTGGGAACCGCTACTTATGGAATGTCCAAAGGCTCGGAGAGTCTCACCGGTCATGTAGGAGAGACATGAAATCGGGAAAGGCTGAGCACGGAGGAGTGCTGTCATTTCCAGCGCGCAGGAACTAATTGCTGATGCTTGTCCTTTAGGACCAACAGGAAGTGTAGGAAGAACTGCAGCCACCGCTTTCCCCCTGGCTCACCCACTGTCGAATCGCGGCTATATTTCCCGACGTTTGTTTTGTGCCCTCCGGCATTGCTGCAGCGGCTACCGCCGCTGACACGGTATCCGGAAGTTTACGGACTCGGGTGGCGCGTAAGGTCTGGGCATGTGAGTCGTGAGCGCGCATGTGATCCAGAGAAGACTGGACCGTTACAGGTGGAAGAATTTTCTGATTACCAACCTGTGTTAACGCCTGCTTAACACGGTTGCTTAGGCCTTGGTCCGCCATAAACCCGGACGATACAGTTAACTCATTTGCTGTAGCCTGAACCAGCTCCGATGGTACGGGAACGCTGGCGACGCAGGTGTGGGGGTGTTACTGCACATCTCTCGAGATCATTGATGCGCTAGTGTGGCCGAGATTAGCAGAACTCGCCGCCATAGTCACGTCGAGATGCTGCGGATTCACCTCGTCGGGATCAAGGGGGCACGTCGTAGGCATGTCCGATGGTACCAGTACATGTGTTACGGTCTTAGAAGGCAGAAACCAGAAGTTGGCGTGCTTACCACGCCAGCTTGGCTTCTGCTGCGACGAGAAAAAGACGTCGAGAGGCGATAAATTGTCTAGCGGCTGCGCTCCCTAATTTTGTTCAGCTATCTCAGCCGGCCTCTGGAGTGGTGGTAAATCAGGTCGATGGAAGTCAGCCTCGATCGCGGGCTGCTTCTTTGGTTTAATCTTTGCCAAGAGGCGTTGCAATGTCTTCAGTAAAGTCGAGGCTTTTGTAACTTCATCATTAGTTCGGGTGGCTGCCGTTTCGGTCGCGCGGTATTCGTATTCTAAAGTAGGAAAAGAGTAATTCCTGTAATCGAAAGCAGGTGCCTCTTCACCTGGGGTCTCTTTTAGGGCAATAATTACCTCCAGCGCATAAGCATGAGCCGCAAAGTAGCAAGAAATTTTCGAGTCGGCAATGCGCTGCTCCTCGGCTGCCTTGGTCGACAGCATATCGACCTACCGTTGTGTGTCATCAACCTGCACTTGAGCGAGTGCCAGCTCCGTAGCGACTAAGGAGACGATGGGGTCGGAGTCCACACCACTTGTATCCGTGGTTGCTTCCGCCACTGCAATTTTCTTGTCAACTCCGAGCAGTTCGTCAAGTTCGTGAAGCGCCTTTGCGCGACGCTGAGCCGCCTGTGATGAGCGAGTAGGAGACTTGGCTTTTGCAGTCGAGGGCGAACGTCCAGCCCTTCATCGTTTTTGGTATGATTAGGTTGTGCTCGCCCTGAACTGATTTCTTTGAGGTCTTCTCGGCGAGCGAAGTCGCCACTTGAGAGGAGGATGTCCGGCTCCTTGTTCTGGCTGCGCCTTAGGGTGTCAATATGGTCAAGCTGCATGGTCAGACGGTTGACTGATAAACGCGATCGACGATGGACTTATGGGGCCGCATTCGTGTTCGAGCCGCTCTTTTTCTTGGTTGGTACCAAGTTCAAACAGTTCATCGGCCAAAGAACGGCGGGACGTGAGCTAATGCCGCTTGCTGCTTGCTGACCAATGGGTGAGGAGGCAGAGGTGGTCTTCTTATGGCTGGCACGCAATCTTTTTTCCGGAAAAACACGGCTAAAAGCGGGGACTTGCGCGCGTCTGCCCTCAAACCTGGCCTTTCTTGCAGTTAGTTTCGCTGCCAGGCCAATGACGTGCTGTAAGTGCCCGTGCACGCTGACCTGGTCGGCAGCACGGTGGAAACAGGTGAACTCGCGGTGATGTTCGTAATGTGCAGTTCCTGGGCGGGCCACGCATTTTGCACTGGAATATTAAGGCGAGTAACATGAGAAACATGGAATCCGTTAAAAATGCTAGTGATGGTGGAGGAACATCGACGTATCGGTGGTCGCAATGTGGTTTACCACTTTGAGCTTCGAGGGACTTGTAATGTGTCGATAGTTGCCACGAAGAAATTGAAGTCATACGCCTCCGACTCGCTCGAGTCACAGATGTCACTGCACAGGACGCACTCGACGATAAAAGGACCTGGATATTGATGCACGCAACTCCATTGTCGGTAATTATAACTTGGTAATTCAAAAGAGTGCGTCCGACTGGCGTAGCTGAGGACGACGCAGCAGAAATGCCCAATCGTTTCAAAGTAGCAGGACATAATAGTTGAAGACGGGAACCCCAAAACAAAATAGATTTTGCATACCAACTCGCTGCTGCCGCTTGATCCGTCAGGACGAAGGTGAGGCGTCAAGTTCGGCGTCACAGCTAGTACGCTTAGCTTTCTTGACCAGTTCGCGACTTATGGGGTCTGGTTTCGTTTCCCCCTCATGGCGCCTAAGGATTCGTAAAAGCAGCGTCTTCTCATCGATATGTTGGGGTATGCGCACGAACGGTGGTACAGCCGCAACGACTGTTCCTTCCAAGTAGGCCTAAAAAAAACAGAGCATCGCGACCCGCGTCGCCCACGGGTGTGTACACACCAGGGAACCAGGCGGTGGCTGTAGGAAAACACTACCCATCACCCAGGCCGCCAACTCTTATGTGGTATCATCGGGCACAGAATATCGTCCACTTCTTTTTTTGATCCACGAACTCGTCGCTGTACAAATCACCCTTTACTGCCGTCGTGAAAGGGTCCGTGGGTAACGCCGTAGGCGTCGCTTACTTCAGTAGGTGCGTTTCTACTCAGCGAGTGACCGACAGCTCTGGCAGGTGCGTCGTTACTCGACGAGGTTGCGCCAGCACCGTAAAGATTGCCGTAAACTGCACCGGTACATAGCACGGGGGCGCACCCACTGTTACGTGAGCTATCAATCGGCTAGCAGAAGACGTCACCGCTTTGTCCGAAAGGTGCTAGCGAATGTACACCAGCGTCATTGGTGCAATTCTCTGAGGTATGCTCGGAAGAGTCATTGACGGTGTTCGAAGAGTAATTTTTTCGCTATTGAAATTGCGACCGCCGAGGCCGGTCACTGCCGATGCATACGAACCCCAACCAGCCTCAACTTTAAGTACGGGGTTCGGCACGCCTGCTCTCTCGGTTCAAAGTGGTGCACCCGCTTCTCCAGCGACGACCGTCCCCGGCTTCGAAGCACGATCTGGATCGTGATCCTAGTGCACGCGCGCATAGGACGAGCTCTTCGGTGAAGAGACCCGTTGGGCATCTCTCCGCCAGTCGCAGAGCTCATAAATCGTAAACACCCTTCCCCGTGCCATGCTGTTTGTTTGCGTATTCAAGCAAAAATCTGGAAGTCGAAAGGGTAAAAAAATGGCTTTCTAGTTACCCAACGTCGGCGAGGCATTTTCACCCGACGCATTCGATTCTGATACAAAGTCCTTGTGGGGGTCTCACATGTGGACCGTAAGATATGCTATCGGTAATGCCGTACCCGATGGTTACAGTACTACAACCGATACAGTGGTTTTTAAGGAAGGCACTGCCACGCGGCATTGGTCCGGGTCAGCCTCGACCCGTGATGTAACGGGCACCCTTTGTTTGAAGTGCCGAGAACTTCCCCTACATTAGTACGTGCAAAGGAGGCTAATCTACTTGAACGACTCGGTCAAGTAAAGGTGAACAGAGAACTGTAATCAGTAGAGTTAAGCTCTCATAATAACTTTAATCTTTATGTAACTATGGTTATCTATATTGTCGTATGACGACAACCTTCTCACCGCTCATTGCGCGCGTCTAGCAGCGATTGGTGGTCTCCTAGAATGGTTTGTCTTTATTAGCCAATCTTGAAGCAGCGAATGAATATTGTCCTAAAAAAGGGGATAATATTCCTTCAATATTATCCATCTCGGATAATATCGGTAGGATATCGTCATGCTAGACAGTAATCCTACTGGCACCGTTCGGTGTCAATTTAATGCAACGGGCTACCCCGTTACTTATCCCCCTCCCCTAAACCATCAAAAACCGTTGATTGAAATAGACTTGATTGGGACAGGGTGACCACCGTTGGATCAATCTGGAAAAGGGAGCACTTGTTGGTCAAATTCCATTCATTTGCCAATCTAACGTATGGTTTCCAAAACCACGCGAGCTGCTACTGCAGCATCAAGAAGAGCGGCGGCACGCATGCGTGCGGCCGCGGAAAGTGCCTCTCACGCCTCACCAACAGTAGATTCGTCAAATGTTGTCGTGAATCCTCCACGTGGTGAGTCACCACATGCAACAGGTACATCCGTTGCGTCTGCAGCGGGTACTGCGAGTCGTAATCAAGACGAGTCTGAGATAGAGCTAATCTATTCTGGCGAGTCGGATGATGCATCCGACTCGAAGGCGACTCCTCACGCCTCGGGATCACCCGGGGCGGACACTGCAAGAGCCAGGTTGACTGGCTCTGGTCAACGTGGCGGCATCATGCTCGAGATCTTTGGATCGAGTGATTATTCCGATGCGTCTCCGCCTCACTCAAGTCCATCCAACGATAGGACGCGTGAAGATGGTGGCGATGCACCTATGCATCACCACGTGCGAAGCAACTCGAGAGATCGAGCTGCTACTGGTGTCAGTGCTCGTGCTGACACCACTTAAGAGGACAGGGACCGAAATGTACTGAACCACGCTCCTCAAATGGAGTCTCCGTGGATGCCGCCATCCAGAGAGTTGGACCGGTTGGCCGGCACGAATACCGAACGAGATCGAATCCCGTTGGTCGATTGGAGGACAATTTGCCACCTGATTTCAACACGATGACTATCCGTGCTGAGGAAGAGTTCTTCACAGATGCACTTTTTAAACATCGGTGGTACAATGGCAACCGTGTTCGGGACGGCAAAGCCTTAGTGCAAAGACGGAATGCCCATATCCACAACATCGAGTAAATTGGCCGTGAGGCTTGGCTCGCCAAACTTGATGCATCTCGCATCAGGTTAGAGAAACGCAACCCAGTCGGGGCGCGATACAAGTTGCACCGGCTTTCAAGAGAGGCAGGATTACCCTGACTCTCGTGGGGTGGTTCGTGTCCAGGTTGCCTGGACAATGCTAATCGGGCCCCTAGGAAGGCCTACCTACCTAAAGATCCCTACTGGAGGGCGCGCATCTCCTCCGAGATGGCCGAAGGGATCGACACTTTGCAATCCCTGTAGTCTTGTTCGAGGAGGTCATTTTCCGACGGCCCTTCTTCAAACGCAGCGAGTGGGTTTCGTCGTACTGCTCGACGAGACCAAGGACATCAACAATCAGCTGGGCACGAGGCTTCCAGCTGTCCCACGCTGGTGGATAGTCACGCCAGCGGACGAGGTGACTCGTCCGGACGCCATTCACATCGCTGTGGCTCAAATTACGCTCCAATAGGAAGCGTTGACCACCGCTTGAGTCCACCAAATGATGTGGTGGCAGTGAGAACACCTGATCCGGCTCGAGGGTCGGATCAACTTGATGTTCAAGAGCTGAACCGTCTAACGGAACAGTTGCAAGATGACCTGGCTCATATACGATCTCGGCGTAATGGGCTTGAGGATCTTGTGAGGGATAATTACAATTCCATAACGCACGATCGTCCAAACGATCGTGACGCTTTTGCGTTCGCGCAACTAGTGAACGAACGTTCGGTTCGTTCTCTTCGTGACGAGCTGAAGTCATCTCGTCAGGACATCGCTCAACTGCGTGAGCAGGTCGGTCCGCTAGTCGACCAGACTGGCTCGTTGAAACGAGACCACTCGAAGGTGGTCTCGTCCCTGGATGCGTAGGGTTCTTCGCCTCTCGAAACGGTCTCGTACTGATAGTACAGATGGAGACGTCCAGCGTAAAATGTAGGAAGCGTACGCATCCTACAAGGCAGTTCAATCGTGTATGCGATGTTCACTCGGCGCAAAGCACGAAATGAACCAAAGTACTTGGGCAGTAATTTACTGCTGCCCACGTTTGTCACTGCTTGTTTTGGTAGATATACTGTGAAAGTAAAACTAAACATCCTTCATTGAATGAAAGAACATTTGATCTTCCATGTTTGTCTGCGTTTCTTTTCTGCTTGTCTGTTGAGTCTGAAATGTAGTCT